TGCATTATTTAATTAATTGAACATAAATAAATGGGGTGAAATCTTGGTCAGATTGAAATTTTCATCCGTCAGATGATATTTTAATCCGTTCCTAATTTCTCCTCACTTTCATTTTTGAAAAGAAAGTTTATTTATTAAATTATATACTGTATTATGCTCTTAGGATATCCTTAAAAAAAATGCTCTTTTATATTAATTAAATGAGAGTACAACTGTCAAAATGTGATTATCCGTCAGATGACGGATTGGAACTCTAATATTAGATGTGTCATTAGTAATAGTAAAACGTTTTTTCGCTCAATCATCAATTTCCAAAAGCGCAGTGACCAAATATGTCCCTCGCTTACAACAACTTTTGGCAAAATTACCGCAGTATATAACAAATCTGATACCAACCACCATTTTTTTGGTATATACATAGTAAATTTAGTAAGAGACTATGAGTATAGAATTGAGTGTATGATCATATGATAATACCCAGAGATGTCACACGTCATTTATTTAGGACTTTTATTCCATGTGGACATAATGCCAGCTGCGGTTTTTTATTCTATCATACTCACGTTTGTGGTGTAGAAGGTCTACCATACAATTATTGTAAACAAATACTTTCAAAAGTAGACCAATCTAAAAATGTCAGAAGTAATTGGGTTAGGCATGGAATACATGGTTACGATTAAAAGATTTGACAATAAGAATTTACACAAATGATATTTTCAAGCTGCAAATAGTCAAGAACGGGCAATTTTTTACAAAGAATATAAGAATATTGATTGACAGGTGGAATCATGTTTCGCGTTTTCATCTCAATAAGAAGAATGACAATGGAACCTTTAGTCCCGCTCTTTCAGAATTTATTACTTTCTCTTGCTCATCGGACTCCTGATGAATGGATCATCATCAAAAAAATTCAACATCTTCCATATAAATTCTTTAGTTAATTTCATCCTCCTTTATCACTGAAACAAAAAGTTTTAAAAAAATGCAAGAAAAACCGTCGCCTAAAGCAGCATGAAACGGAAAGAAAAACACGAGAAACTAATGAACAAACGTAGAAATTCTCCAGAGGTAATAATACAACAGAAACTGAAAATGAACAAGCTCGTAAAGCTCGTGAGCTAAAGGAAGAGAACAAAGATTCATCGCAAAGAAAGTTGGCAACGAAAAGTTGCAAACAAGGAAAAATGTAAGAAAAACAAGAAGTTGAAAAAGCTTTAAAGCTTCAAAAAGCTTAACAAACTCTGAAACCGAACATATCACTGACGAATCATCCAAGAAGTGGATGATTCTACTGATATTAACATGTATTCAGATGATCAGATCCCGCACCTTCAACATCAACTCCACCTCACCATAACACACCATCCCCACCTATTAACTACATTAACACTACTTTCACTTATGTGAACGAAGTTTATTCACACTTACAATCTTGATACGAATATGACCTTAACAGACAAACCATTGATCTGCTCAAACGCCAAGATGTCTTCATCAAGCGTTCAACTCCTCTGAGCGATGATGAAACACCCAATGAACAGAAACGCAAACGCTTAAAATGACATCTCACCCTGACTGATACTCCGACTACTGGGGTCAAAAAGGCCGGGTGTATATCATCTACCATCTCCCCTCCACAGGCATTTTTTTTAATGAAAAATAAATACGGGAGGGATAGTAATAATCGTGACAAATTATTCCAGGATTTTTTGCCTCTTTTTGTTTTTGCGCTCAAATTATAGAACTGGTTATGCCTAATTGTTCTTATAAAAATTAGGCAGGATGACTCCTTCAGGGTTGGAATTGTTACATATATATAGGTAGTTTAGTGTAGCTATTGTAAAGTCATCAACTCTAAAATTCGTAATGCTCCTGTTTCCGTCATCATATTAAAAATAAAAATAAATAGTAAATAATGAAAGAACAAATTATGAAAGCTGTAATTTATTTAAAGTGGAAATTACTAATTATTACATCTTATATTTAAAGTATAAAATCTGCAAACCCGGGGCAACGCCCGGACTTACTGGCTAGTATTGGTTTAAACTTATTAATCTTGTTGCAACAGGTTATACAGTCAAACCTTTATATAACGATATGTCGGGACATATATGAAATTTTTAGGAAATATCGTTATATCAAAGTTATACCGATATTTATATGTCCTCAAATATAGTGGGAAAATAAAATTTTATCGGTATATCAAGTTTTTAATAGTATATCGGTATATCGAATATCGGTATATCGAGGTTAGACTGTAGCTTCTAATGGTTTTGAAATAAAAGTTGCGTTACTTGTTGAATCATCTGATACTCTAATACCCAGTCTCCAGCTACACAAAAGTTGTTTGGTCATGGAGCTAGTTTAATATTAATTAATATATTATCCTATAATCGAAAGATTTTTAGGATTTGACAAAGTTTTGCGCAAACTTCCCAGAATTACTCACAGTGCCTGCTACTTCCCCTTCTCTTGATGCCGATCATTTAATTCTGGCCAGAATTAAATACGTTATGTGATTTAACAAAAAGACCCGAAAAAGGTTTTGTCAAATAAGTCAAAAAATGACATTCGAAACCATTTTTAATGTCTTAATTGAAACTTGCAGAGCAGGGGAAAATATACATAGTAAACATTTTAAAAAAGTTTGTATATTTATGAATTTCTTTTTTTGTTACAGAATGCGAAATTTTAACATCATACGGGGGCGAGATATACATTTTCCCTTTTTTTACTAGATAATAAATTTCGTTCTTTATAAAAATTTCGTTCATTTAAAAATTTTTTTCATTATTTACCACCTTTTTCTTGTTAAAACTTTATTATAAATAAAATACAGTTTATTAAAAATTATTTAATGCGTTTTCATACTTTTATTCTTTTTAAAAATTATTAAATAAAATATTAATAATAAAATGGATTAATAATAATTTATCAATTGAACATTGTTGTTATTTATTAAAATATTTGTTGAATAAAATATAATTTTCAATATTTATTTTTATTATTAAAAGTAAAATTATTCAATTCATTAAAAAAAAAAATGATTTATTCAACGTGGCACCGATAAATTGATAGGAATGACTCTTTAGTGTTTAATTAGGTATATTTAGAACATCATTAAAAATTAAAAGTGAAATTAATTTTACACGACGATTCATCTTAATTATAATAAAATCTATTTTTTTTTTATTGAGCAAAAGAAATAATTAAATAAAAGAAATATTGATTTTATTTAAAAAAGATACCAATTAGAGCAAGTTGACCACATGAATAACATATGATTCGATTTTGTTGGTTTGGTGTATGTGTTGTTGATTGAATTGCATTTTGAAAATCACTGCTATTATTATAACTTCTATTACCATGACTTCCGGTACTTAAATTTTGGATCCTTTTTATAACTATCATAGAAATACAATTCTCAAGAAGTATTAGAAGTATACAAAGTGTATATGTCATATATACAGTAAGCACATATAATATATATATATATATAAGCATCCCAATAAAAATACATTATAATTTGTAACAAATAGATGTAAATTTTCTATCAAATTTAGATACAAAATACTATACAGAAATCAGATCAATGTTTCTTTTTTGAGTTTTTTTTTTGAATTCTTTTTCTTCTTTGCAACAGAGTGAATATCCATCGTTTTTGTGGCAGGTTTTGGCAAATCTAGGAGAGAAAAAAATAATTATAAAAATTAAGACAAAATAAAAAGGAATAAACATAATCTTGACATACTATCTGTAGCCTTCAAATTCTGCAATAGTTCCAATATACACTACACTCCATATTACACATCTAGAAAAAGAATTCCATTGTAACATTTCCCGATGAGAATAACATGATCAAAATCATATGCTTTAATATCTTCAAGTAAAATTTATAAGCAGGATTTTATTTTTGACATAACGGCCAAGAGATTCTGCAGCATGCTTATGATCTAATTCATTTGCGATCATTTCAACCATTATGAACAGATTTTTTGGAATTTTGCAATCTTTTTGAGTTTCATACTTTTTCCCCCATCGACACAGACATAGTTTCCAAAAATTTTTTTATGTTGAATGTTTGGGACCACAAGGTTGCATGGTTTTCTTCCGTCCGTGCATTGCCTGTAACCCATTCTGCACAGTTTTTCCAATGATAATTGCAAGTCGCAGATTCAACATTTTAAAATCCTCACCATTGCTATTAATTGGTTGTTCTTGTGCAGCATACTTCCCGTTATTGTTTCTATCATTATTCTGCTGCGGACTGATGTCCCGAACATAAATTTCCCGATCTTCCTTTTTTTCATTGATGCGACAACCTAATGCAACCAGTTCCATCATCATAATTTTGTTTGCCAAGATAATTTGCATTTTGGAGAGAAATTTTCTCTGGTCTTGAAGCTCCATTTCTTTGATTAACTTCATGTTCATTACATAAGTCATCCGTATTAGGGCTACTGCGTCCCATACTGTTGAAGATTCCTACATAAAAAATTTTTTATATATATATAGATAATTTACTTATTGAATTACAAAATCGGCAGCTAAAAATAAGCATGGGTTTAACTTTATATTATTATATTCTTAGGCATTATTAAAGCTTAGAAATGAAACAGCAGCTTTAACTTTATAATTTTTAGCGATTTAACCTACACTTCGATACTTTTGGAAAGATTGTTACTCATCGATTTACAATACAAGAACAGAGTCAGGGTTACATTATATTACATATATATTACATCATTTTTTTGCTTGACAGAGTCAGAAATTGACAATGCTTAGGTACAATATTACTCACTAGATATGTCTGCAACCCTAATCTTGACTCTGTATTAGTGGGTCAAGATTTGACTGACATTAATTTCATATAACTTACCTTAAATGGAAAATTACATACACACGCTAACCTATTTAATAAATAAGTTTCAGGATTTAAAGTACAAATTTGTCTTCATTCTTTTTCTCTTCAATGACTCATATGAAAATAATATATAAAAATGTCTAATGAGCCAAAAGCATCCCCAGAAATGTATTTAAAATACTGTAATATATTTTTTATCAGTTCCATTGTCACAATGTGGGTTCTACTTGATGATCTGAGACCAGTAGAAGTTGACATTGACCAAAGAAATTATGCTTCCCAGTTTCTTTGGGAAGTTTAATCTAGACTGCCTTGTGCCCATTCTCAAGAACGAATTCTCCAACGAGCTTCAAGGTGTTAGGCCAACAGAAATCAAATTTTTCAATAACAATGATCGAACAACGTCTCTTGATTGTGGAATGACACTCATGAATGATAACACAAGTAGTAAAAACCCACTAGTCATTTGTTACCTATTGTCAGACTTGAGTAGTAAGTAAACTGTTTCCTATTCCCTTTTCCTATAATGCTTAGTACTCATTATTGTTTGCTTTACAGTTGATGTGAAATTTAGATATATACACAAAGTGGTGCACTGCCAAATTCCACATTCTAGTGGTTTCTTCTATTTGTTAAAAAGAGAAGCCATAGCGAAGTTTAAGAATGATTTGGCAGAAATTGAAACGGGTGATATTTATTTTGAAGATCAGAATAATCAGGAAATTGAGAGTGCATTCCATTTCAACACTCTATTGAATAATATTGATCAAAATGGTCAAAATCAATATGATCTTGATCTGAAAATTCAAATAAAAAAAAGAAAGGTGTACAGTGATTGGAAGATTGGAGATGTTTTGCGAGAAATTTATAATTATAAAATCGATGTTCTCAAAATGGTACAGGTTGAATTTGATATGAATAGTCTCCCAAAGTCATCCCCACCACTTAGTACTGAGGTACAGGACAAAATTGCTGAACAGCTTGAGGATAAAAAAATTGTATTTAAAAGGGTATATGCTAATGAAGCCACAATACGAGAATTTATTTTGGTTGTTTTAGTCAACACAGTCAAATTTGTTAACATACATAATGATCCAACAACTGAATTATTGGTGGAGAAACAGCTTGAAGGAAGACATGGATATGGCACTTTGGACTTCATGGTTATGATACAAAAATTTTTTATGTTAATAATGGAGGCTAACAGTGTTGAAGAGGGTATTGCCCAAATTTTAGTGCAAATAAGGAGTGCATCTGAGGTAAATTCCTTAAGTTAAAATTATGCTGAAATTGTGTATATTTATCTTCCAATACTCAGGTGTTAGGAAAAAGAAAATTAGATCAAACAGATTTTGAGTTTGAAATTGAAAAAATGCCATTAATCGGTATCGTAACAACTGGAGGGGTCTGGGTTTTCATCTGCAATACTGGTCAGAAAATTGAAATAGTATCTGAAAAGTTTGAATGTAGCTATACAGGTAATATGGAAGGTATAAAAATAGTGTCTTCATATATTGTGCGACACAAGTTACAGAAATAAATAATCAACGTTTAAAACGTTCACGTATTGATCAGTGACACTGGATTATTTTATGTTCTTTTTATAATTCTTCTAATATATACCAATATTCTCAATAATATAATAATATAATTGTCCTAATTTTTCGTTCATTGAAATTCATGTGTACTACAGTAATCTTTTCTCTCTCCCATCTCCCTACTCTTCATTTCTCTAATATATTTCATTGACATTAGCATAGAAATTTTGTCATGTATTCCGAGCTTTTTATTTTTTTTTCGCATGTATCACAGGAACCTTTGTAATAAATTTTTTTTTTCCTTGGCAAAAGTGATCAGTATGAACAATGCAATATTTTTAACGAACAAATATTTAAACATCATATCGTAAATAATTACAACATCAATTTGGTATATATTATAACAAGCTTATCAATCCTCCATACTATAAGTCATAAAGGACTTAGACCAAGATTTAATATCAAAGTACCACAATTAATTGTGCATTTAATTAAAAGATGTTTAGAATATAAGAGTTTTGTTTTTTATCGCTATGGTGATATATCGCTAGGCCTCATGTCACGTGTTTAGAGAATTAATCATGTGATTTATTAGTTAAAATATAATATTATTTAATTATTGTATCCTATGCATCCTATGCACCACTAAATAAATTTATCAAAAAATTTAAAAATTGAATGAGTTTTTAATAATCAGAAAAATGGTTATTAAATACATTGTTGGATTTTATTTATACAATATAAGAACAATTTAACAAATTCAAATTAATTTACGGTTTATATTGTTGCTGACTTAGCCAAGTCTTGTAAAAAAACTTGTTGTCACCTGATCACCAACGTTGAGGTGCAGCAACATTGATCAGGACCTCGAAAAAAAGGGAAGAGAAAAGGATGAGAAAGTGGAAAGGGAAAGGGGGACGAGAGAGGGAAGAGGAAGGGAAAGAGCGAGGGAAAGCAAAACAACACACACACACACACACACACACACACACACACNCACACACCACACCACACTACCACCACCACCACCACCACACCACACTACCACCACCACCACCACCACACTACCACCACCACTTATCACCACCACTACCACCACCACACACACACCACTCAACACACCACACAACACACCTCACACCACACCACACCACACACAACACACCCACACACACAAGAACGACAAGAACGAAGGAAAGTAAAGGTATTTATATATATTTTTTTGTACGTGAATAAAGTTGATTAGTCATGACTCATGAGTCATAAGTTATGACTAATATTATAACATATCACAACTCCTTAATTGTCATACTAATATTTGTCGATCTAATCAATTAAAAAAAGTCTATTCTTTATTAATCAAAGTCATGACTAATCTGTGAGTATATAAAAATCGGTGGCTGAATAAAAAAAAAAATTACTCATATATGAACGCATGATTATATTGAAAATGACATTAGTAATAGGCTGACTAATAATATTTCATTGGTGTTAATGGTTATTCGTGCACGTGTATTTTTTTTCTGATAATGACTAAATAATAGCAGTTAGTGATTATTACAAATATTGATATCATCTATGCTCTTTATATGAAAAGCTTGTATAATAAAAAAATATTTATACAGAGTAACTTTTTTTTTATTACACATCTATTAGATTGGCCCTATAATAAAAATGGTAAGGCACAGACGTAATAGATGACGCATAAGACGTATTTTTATATGGCTGTGTTTGAAGATTCGTTTGAGAACATGACTAAAATTGGATATCTCTGGCCCGCATTAGATAACTCTTGACTAGGATTGTAGGTAACTCGATACCATTTGTAATAAACTTTATAACCAATGCTGGATCGGTTTCATTTTTTTCACTGCAATCTTTTACATACTAATTACCGGTTAATTTATTAACACCTTCCAATGTCGCTCTGACGGCAGCCTTAGCTAATCCATCCACCGCCTCTGTTTTCGCATTAAAAACTTGTTTACGTATTAAAAATAATTTGCGCCAAAATCTTGCTGAAAGAAAATGTATTCTTTTTAAAAAAAAATGAATGTAAAAAAGTGAATTTAATGATTGCGGCGATATCACAAGTGTAATTTGGAATATTGGGTAAGTGTGTGGGGGTGTGTTATTTACGAATTAGTAGTAACTTGACAGAATTGTACGTATACAAGTCTGACTTTAAGCGAAATAGCCCCGGATTACCCCGATTTTTGAGTCTTCGAAACATGGGCTCTGTTTGCTTTAATAGTTTTCGTCTGTGCCAGCAACTCTGTAAATTAACAAATAAAATAAACATAAGAGAGCGCTATGATCCTACACAAAGATTTACTTAAACGTGCATTTGAACGTTCCAACGATTTTTATTTATCTGTTATGATAATTCAAAATATCAACATGGTTGTAATATTCTGACTAAATTACGGTAATAAGACAATTTACGTATACAATGTCGATTCTTATTGTTAATACATTAAATTTACTTCATTTTCTTTGTTTATATATTTATATATTATAGATTTTAACGAACAAAAGTTCATTTGAAGTATTTGAAGTACATTTCTTGCCTCAGGTGTCAACTGACCAATAGGATGTGATGTATCGGCACGTGACGATTACACATTTAATTTCATGTGATTCAGCGGACATCTGGCACAACTATATTATTTTTATAAAAATTCACCTATTCAATTTTTATATAAAATTTTATTTTATTAATGACTTATAGAATCCCAAGGAATTTTACATGAAAAAATTCCTCGGCTACATGCATGTTATTAATATCTTTGTGAATTATTTTCCTAAACTTTCTTAGTGTATATAAGAAATACCTAAAAATATGTTAAAATCGTTGATAATACGTAAAATAAAACATCGAAGATTTGCTTATACATACAATGACATTCACTCTAATGCATAAAAAGTTAAGTTAATATATTTATTACTCATTTCATTGAACTTCCAAGGAAATAAACTGACCAATTAGAATAAATTTATTTATAAAATAAATTTGAATTTTAAGTAGTAATTGAATGAATTGAACAATAATAGTATAACGAAAAAAAAATGAGAAAAAGAAAATTTATGAAGTTTTCTTTTTTTTTTTGATAAAAGAATCAAACAATATAATTTCATTTTTTTTCCAATCATCATATTTTAATGTAATGTAACCTTAGGGATCTAAAGGTTATAATCAAATGAAATTGCAAGAAATTTTACCTAATATTCAAAATATTATTATTTATTAATTATTTTTTCATCGGAAATTATTTTTTTAAAAAAAAGCAATAATCGTGAAAATCGTGAAAATCGTGAAACTGGAAAAGAAATGATTTTCGTAATAGGTTAATTTATTAATGCATATATATTTTTTATTTGTACTACTTATCTTTTTTAAAAAACAATAATAATAATATATTAGATATCTTTATTTCACCATTTTTGTTTTTGTTTTTGTTTTTTTTTTTTTTTGAAATTTGGTTTCAATATATTCGAATTCCAAATTTAGAAGTAAATTTCTTTAATTTAACATTATTATAGTGAAATATAATAAGCGAACTATATCATACTACAATTACCGGACAAATTCATTACCATTGATGTTAGAATTTTAGGGACAGCAAAATTTAATTTGAATTTAATGGTATATCATGCATTAAAATCACAACATCAGAACAAATAACCATAAATTTAATAATAATTTGAGTTTTAACTGGTATACTTTTGATTGTATTTTTGTTATGAATCTGAAGTAAGGGATAATCGTATCTACCATATGCAGAAATGTACAGTATGCAAGTATATATGTATTTCACGTGTTGCATCAAATTAGCGTTATGATAATAGTAGTACAATATTTGCATCTGCAGTAATAACATTATTTTATAAAATAGGTTTCATTATTAAACGTCCATTTCCAATAATTTCCCAAGAAACAATTTGTGAGACAATACTATTAAAAAAAAAAAATCCTCTTTTCTTAAAAAAACGCAGGAGATTTTATATAATTATTATGCTTAAATCAGATTTAACTTTTTAAGGAGCCAAAATTCTCGTTGGTCGCGTTAAAGTGGAATGTTATTTGTAAAAAGAAATTCATAATTGGGAAGAGTTTTCTATTTTCCAAGAGCCTATGTATAAATTAGTATATATTTTATATTCATATACAATTGTGACGAGCAAAAAAGAAATTTTGATTATAAATCGAATTTTATATTTTGTTCACTAAAAGAAGCAAACTATTAAACTAATTCTCATAATTTATAAAACTGAATCTTATTTGTTATATTTGTTTACAATCTTACTTATTGGTTCGTGTTCTCCAATTTTATGTTGTCAATTTTTTTTGACATTTTCAAACCGTCATATTGCTTCATAATGTTCTGTCATTGTTTTTCTTATTCATTTATTCATTTATTTTTTATTCATCCATTTATTTATTTATTTTAATTATTTATATATATTTTTTCCCATTGTTTTTTAATTTCGTTAGTATCACAAATAATTTTTGTGTTATAAACAGAATCACATGATGTGCAGAAAAGAACCGCCGCAACATTTTTTAATTTGATTACGATTACACAACTTTTCACGTTATTTTAATTTACGAAATTTAAATATATTTAACGATGATATTAAGTATTATTAGTTAGTGTAGTTTGGATTCTTCTTTTTATTGTTTAATTATTAAAAAAAAAAATACGCTCGTGAAAAAAAAAGGATCAATATAAAAAAAAAAAAGAGAACGAATAATATTGCATAACATGAGAACTCACTAAAAAGATCTCGATCATCATATTAAATAACATAAATAGATCTCTTTTCGTGCGACAATATCATCGAGGAGTTAAAACTTAAGGCTAATAGAAATCGAAATTAGTAAAATAATTAATTCATCATTAATTACCAAAATAAAATAAAAGCAAAAATCAATATATCCCTTATTAAACATATGTATAAATTTATAAATGTATATATATATATATTATATATTTTTTTAATATATATAATATATACAGTATATTACAGTAATATATTTTAAAATTATTTCACCTTATTATTTTGATAGGAATTTACACGTGAGAATCAAACGAGAGAATTTTTTTAGTTATAAAAAGAGTGATACTTTTTTTTGAGTCCAAAAATTCAACAATTACGATTTTTTTTTTTTTTAAAAAAAAAAAAAAAAAAAAGAATAAAATTGTCTCTTAAAAAGCCTTTGTCTTATCTGATATAAAAATTGTAATTATTTCATATAAAGTAAACGTTATTATTATTATTATTATTATTATTATTATATATATTATTATTTGACTAAAAAAAATAAGTTCAATTTTTCTAAAAAAATTTTAGTTTTTTTGTAGATTAAAATGGATGAAGCAACAAAGAAAAAATATTGTCATCTTTTGATGTTTGACATATCCGATCCAAACCAAGAGACGGATTCGTGCAACAATGGATTTTATAATGATGATGGTTTAAAATCTTGTTCCAATGGTTCTTCACAGAAGGCATCAACCGCAGTTAATCAAAAGTCACTTGTAAACAAGCCCACGAAACAACGCAAATCTCGATCAAGGAAACCAAAAAGAACTCCTCGTCCACCAAATGCTTTTATTTTATATCGGAAAGCAAAACAACCTGATGTTGTCGCTCAGAATAAAAATTTAACAAACGCTGAAGTATCTAAAGTTATTTCTAAAATGTGGTGGAAGGAAACTGAAGAAGAAAGATTTCAATGGGAAAAACGCGCTGATAGAATGAAATTAAAACATATGCAAGATTATCCAGATTATGTTTATCAGCCAAAAAAACCTGGTACTAAAAAAAGAAAATCAACCCAACGTAACGATAAATCCAATAAACCTACCAGTGATGGAAAAAATGTAAATAGGGTCACTTCTTCATCAACTCCTTTCTTAGTCTCAGAAAAAAATTTTGTACCAGATGAAACAATCACTGCCATTGCTGAAGTTGCCTTCGCAGTTGGAAATAAATCTAATTATTCAATGCCGCTCACATCAAGTATACCATCTCCCCCATCATCCATCGAAAGATCTCCGACCGTTTCATTAAATGAATCACCAATTATGTCACCACATGGCGTCTTACATAACAATCGGTTGAATCATCGCTCTTTATCTGTAAATCACATGACATTTCATCAACACCATTATTCTTTATATTCGCAACACCCACCAACTCCAACAACAGAAATTTATGATATAACACCCCAATTTTTGTTACCATCCGATAATTATGAACATTTTGCTCCTCAATGCTTTAATCCTATTGAGGAAACTTCTTATATTTCTCCTCACGCTTTGACAAATAATAACTTTGATTCATTCCTTAATATACAATCAGTTGATAAATTTCCTTATTTTATAAGTCAAGATACAACTGCCACTTCTCCAAATACTGCTTATTCTTTTAACAATTTTGACACCACACCTGTCGGCAATTATGCCAATCAGTCTAACTCCACTGGCGGGGAGTTACTCGATGAGTTATTTAACAATAATACATCAGCTTCATCATCTCCCACGATAGTTGAAGATATGGAAACTTATTTCGACGATTCTGTTCAATATTCTAATAGACGTTGTAGTTTTTAAAATTATATCTCTTTTTTTCTTTTTTTTTTATGGTTGGTAAAATTTTTGGTTTTTTTTTTCTAGTCAGAATTAGATATATTTAGAAATGAACATTTTTACATTTTTTTCGTTTTACTTTTCTTTTTCAAAAAAAAAATAAAAAAAATATATAGTATAGAACAATTAAAGAACATATCTTTAAGTGTGCTAGTAATCTCCTGTAATTCTTTTAGATTTAGTGAGCCTTTTATTTTTCTTGCACTTTCACTACTTCACTTCACGCTCTATTATTTAGAATCTTCTTTTTTTCACGAATTTCATTTCATTCTTTTTTTAAAAAACAATTTTCACAGGATAATAAACAATTTTACAATTTTGTATCGTAGGATATTAAACAAAAGATCATATTTCTCAATATGTGAACAATTAAAAAAATATTCTATCTAGAATTTTTATATTTCAATTCTTAAATTTAATTATCAATTGATCTAATGTTGGTGTTGTGTTGTGTCGACTATGTCATTTAGATAGCACATAACGTAAGTGTCACGCTTTTTTCATTTTTTTTCTTACTTTTTTCAATTCTTCTCGCTTTTCGATCTTATTTCATTATTTAAAATGCAATTTATTATTGATATAAATTTTTGAGGTACCATATTCATTTTCCTTCTATCTCAACTGACTAAACATTGTTACTACCCTTCGCATGAACAACTAACTCAATGGCTCAGGTGTATCATTCTTCTTCGGACATCGACGGCTGATATGTCTTGGTTCCTCATAGCTATAACAAACAACTGGAGGTCCGTCTTTCAGAACATTATCAGGCTTGGTCGTCACCGGTCTCGGAAGGTTATAAGCTGGCCGACCATCGAGTTTCTTTTCAAGTTACCCAATTCTTCCTAAAGCAGTAACAAATAAATAAATTATATCAATTTGGTGGACAAATCTTTGTTTTTTTTTATTGAAAAGATAAAATAAAAGAATGTACTACGAAATTCCAATTGAAGATGTCGTATGTCAATTAGAATTTTTTTTTTTTTTTATCTTTTTCTTGTTAATAAATTTTTTTTACTCTAATGAATAATATTATTTTGATTGTTGTTGAAATTTACATGTACTTGTCAGTAGGTAATTTTGTTATCGGTTAATTGAACCAAACCTCATCAAAACAATATTTAAAATTTTATAATAAACGTCTGAAATAATAAAACAAGTATTAGGAACGTGATATATATTATATAGAAAAAGGTTATCAAAAGTTGCTATTCGATCAAGATTTTAACCGAGTTTCACATAAAAAAAAAATATTAACGGATTTTTATTTATATGAACGATAATATATAAAATCTTTATTAGTCGAGTCATTTAATCTGGTAATTGTACGAGAATTTTATGCTTTTAGGGTTAATCACGCTGGGCATCACGTCTCGATTATGTTATATCTCACGTTAAATTATCTTGTTCACAAGATTTTTTATTTAATCACATACAGTAAATCGACATCACGAATTTTTTGCTATTTAAATAATAGTGTTTTTCGTTCCAGAAATTACAATGGTTTCCATTTCCTTCCATTCCTAGTTAAGACGTTAAGTATTCAAAAATCTTATTAAATTAGCCTATCAAACTAAAATTTGTGATTTTTAAATTACAAAAACTAATTAATCGAATATATATATTATTATATTCCATCAAAAACCATTCAACCAATTGAAGGACAAGAAATAATCATAAGAATTTTGCATTTTAAGAGGTAAAAGATGATAAAAAAAACGTATAGGCCCTACTATAGGGTCATACAAATTATGAAATTATTTAAAATCAAGGTATGCATAAATAACATTTATAATATTTTTGGCTTAAATATCGATAATAAAGGTTCATCTATTGCCTAAGCTACTGCTCATGATGTTTTGGTTTTAATGCATTTTCCGTAAAAATCAAACATATCATCTATTCTAATAAATCTAAACTAATATTCTCCCCACATTTGAGAAATTATTTTTTCATTTTCAGCGAGAATATCATTTTGTTTTGCCTTACGGTACAAAATAAATTAATTTGGTGGACGAGTAATTTTAATATTTTTAATGCACTTTTACCCACCAAAAGAAAAAATTGTATGATTCGTGTTATAATCATTGATGTGATGATGAAAAAAAATTCAACATGACATGTAGTATAATAGTAGAGTCGTTGTACAATTAAATATTGTTTAAGCGCGAAAGAAAGCGCCTACCAAATGTACCAATTTTGCCCGATAAAAGCCAAAACCTTCCAGCCCAACGAAACACAAGCCATGATTAAGGTTCAAAGAACCCAAAAATCAACCCTTTTCCCAAGGTTACGATCTTTTTGTTTACCGATTTCCCTCATCCAAAACAAGAGTTGGTCGTTATGATTATGAATACGACCAGGTGTGAAAATAAAATATTCCTTTTGATCCTTAAGATCTTCCAATTAAAATTTTAATATTCCAGAATTACGTGGTTTTTATAATTGTTAAAAAGAAAAGATAATTTTCCCAGATGTTATAAAGTTCATTTTTGTTATGTTATTCACATTTTTGATGTGAAAAACTTTTATAGTGTCATAAATGACGCCTTTTAAAATGCCTTATCCCTATCTCTTAGGATCGGCTAACCCATATCTAATTATTACGATCACACACTCAATGTAATATGGCCAAGAAACTACGACGAATGAAAATATCCTTAGCAAATGCTATCGTAGTAATTTATCCAAGAATTTTACTTTGACAATTGGACCCTAACTATCCTTATTAATCATTAAGTTAAAATCTAGAAAAAAAAGATAGAAACATTCTATTTCATTATTTCATGATAATGGATTCAAGCGATAGCCTACTTTAAACACACTAATTTTTTCAAAGTAACAGTCCTAACTCCAAATGACATTCGTTATTCTACCCAAAGCATCACTATTACCATTATTATTCTAACCTTGAATAACCAAAGTTGATGGCATTTAAAAATATAGGATCCCATAAAAAAAAATTTGAAATTTTGTATTCCATCGTCGACGTCCTACAGCAGAGCTTACATAGTATATTGCACAGAAATTCGATTCATCATGAGATTCAAATATAAGTTGAACTATTTCCCTAAACGTATATCCATCTCTTCTATTGTTAGCATAGAAAATAATTTGATTTGATATAGAATCTAAGTTTTTTAACGTCAATTTATTTAATAACGCTTTGATTTTACATTTTGCTATGAACCGATAGCCATAAAAATCACATGATTCGAAAGTCACCAATCGGGAACCAATTACCAAATTTTGGTTTAAATTATTGAGAAGGAAAAAATTAAAAAACACATGAAATTGTGCTCGCGGTAGTAAAAAAAAAAAAGAAAAATTTTTATGGATTCAGTGAAAAATCCAACCACGTTTTTTTAACTGACCCTTTATATAAGGACAATCTAGATTTCTTTTATTTCACATGTTTAATCAGTAGCACAATTCCCTTAGCCTTTTAAAATCATATGAAATGACGTATATTTACAATTACATACATACATACGGCAATTTGTGACTAGATCGACAAACATATTTTATATTCGTACTTTGATTAATTTGTACAATGAAATTGATGGTTTAAAATGCTTTTAATTTAATCTCGCGTAAGTATAATTTTTGCTAAATAATATTTCTTCGACAGGAGCTTTAACATTCATATGGTAGATTTAACTTCATTTGATTTGTCACATGAAATAGGAACGCAGAAAAATGACGACTAATACATCGGTCGTATTGTACTGTAGATCGACAAGCATATCATCGATTTTGGGAATGGTACATTTTTTTACGGCATAACTGATAAATCTACACCGGCGCAAAATGTTACTGGTTTCAGAATTTTCTTCACTGTTCATACTTCAATTATTATTTTACAAATTGCAAAATTAATTAATAATTCTATTTTATTAAAGAGCTAATACTTGGAAAAATCCAGCATTTGAACCAGAATATATTAAATCATAAAGTGAAGGAACATATATGAGTAATATGACAGATATAATAATTCCTTTAATTCAAACAACTTTAAGAGGAATTTCATATAAACAGGCATTTATTTAGCACGTATGTATTTTATAAAATATTATTTTTATTTAATTTGTTATTATAATTTTATTTACAAATATTATATAGTGCAGAACGACAGAGTATTACTAGTTCTGATAGAAAAGGAAAAGGTCAATTAGGAAAACGACCTGATTTTATGTAATAAAGAAAAAGAAGATAAAATAAAATTATTTAGAGAAACTAATGATGGTATGAATTGGATAAGAAAACAATTTGGTATAATAGGAATTCAAGTTGCTGGTAATATTTTTTTTTATATTATTATATAAACAGTATTATCATTTACAAGAAGCAGAAATTCCTATACAAAAAACAAATGGAATTACCAAAATTTATAAAATTATTATTATTTTACGGGTTTGTATATATTTATTAATTAAGTTTATTTATATTAATAGTATATAATATTAATATTTTTAATTAATATTTTATTTATAGAATATTTTGATTGTTAATATATCATTATTTGTATAAATAAAAGAAATCATGCTGAATCAAGTTCTACAATACCTTCACCAGATATACATAGTAAATGAACGTATAAATAAAAGAAATCGTGCTGAATCAAGTTCTACAATACCTTCACCAAATATACAAAAGAAATAAATAACATTTAATAAATTTTTTTATTATAAATAAGTCACATGATGTCCCAAAATTGTGCAAATTCGCGATTGGGTGAAAATAAAGTAATTTCGGCCCAATTTATAAAGCCTAAAGCGCCATAATTTTAGCCGGAATTATGTTGGCCAGAAAATCATAATCACATGGTTACCCAGTCATCAAATCGAATTTAAATACGTGAAATTTTATCAAAAATCGCGACCACCCCAAAATCGGATCACCTCATATGAATCCTTATCTGTTATAATTTGAATCTATACTATTTTATTTAAATATAATTTTTTATATACTTATGAAAGAAATAGAAACGAATTTTATTATCATGCCAATTTCCCCTTTGGGTCATCATATGTGATAGAAAAATGTTTTGTCAAACATTACTTTATTAAACTTTCCCATATGTCAAATTCATTTATTTTTTTCAAGATAATTTTTAAGTATGTACGGAGATAGATACTGTATGTTTGATTTTCTAAAATTATTTTACCATCCTTTTCTTGATTTATTTATCAAGAAAAACTTGTACGAAAATATTTTGATCTATCAAGTAAAATTAAATGTGCATCATTTTTATCGGAGTAAATGATTACAACATTCTTCTCTAGTAATATAATTATTTAATGAAAGTTTGGATGTGCTTAGATTCATGCTTTTTATTTTAGATATATTTAAGGTCATTTTTAAAAATTAAATGGTAAACTTAAATACGATTCGATACAATTACATGGAATTTTGTGATCAACTCAAAAATCTATTGTAGAGTGTAAAGTTACGGTATTTAACTAGTAAATGGTAAGTCTGGAGCGAAAAACTAAAATTTGCGATTTTATTGAGTTACGATCACGTGGAGAACAGAGAAATTCACGTGAATGATTTTTTTTTCATAGTGTAGAACATATATTGTCCTTCGCTTTGCTCCGGACAACAAAATATCAAGATTAGGGTCCAGTTCATTTTACTGACAACACACGGGAGTTATGTCGTAATGTAGATCAGGTGATTAATTGTCATACTGTGTTATCGGTGAAATTTTTGTTGGTCAAACGTCTGTCGTTGAAATGAAAGCCGTTCAAAATCCAAACGATAAGCTCAACGCTCACAATCCTGACAAGAAAGTTCAAAACCCTGACACTCATTATCCCGACACTTGTTGCATTATTTTTTTAAACGTAATAATTCGTAATAATTTTTCAATACTTTGTAACGATTATTATTTCAATTATGTAATAATTTTAAAAAATTAATACGTCACAAAATTAAGTAACAATTAATAATAATATGATTTTTAAAATATTTCGCAAAAATTAATGTTTTTATTTTAAAAATTATATTTTTGATAATTTTAATAATCATACTTCGTAAAATTTAATGAATTATTATTAGTGAGAAAAAATAAATTAAATAAAAATATAATATTTTGCATGTAAAGATATAATTTTTTTTATTACTCTGATTAGAATTTAATAATCATTTTTTTTATTCATGAGGATATTAAGTGTCAGGATAAAAGTGTCAAGATTTCGTACTAAATCCTTTTTTTGTCTGAAAAAGGACAGATAAGATCGTGGTTCTATGTTAAAAAGACAGTTTTCATAATTGTGTCAAGACCTCTCCATATGTAATTACCCCTACCGACATTCCAAAAACATATGGTCCAACTTTGATGCTTTTTTTTTTATTTTGTAACTCTCATTATTTATGCATTGAAAATTTCGTATTACTGCAATTTTAATATTTTTTTAAAAAAAAGCATTCAACATATTACAAATAATTGATAGATACCGATTTTAATTGAATACGAATGTGGTTTATTGTGATCGACGATTTGTCTTGAAAATTTTAATACGAAACTTATTTTAGTTAACAAGTAGTCAAATACGGTACGGAATTTTTGAAAATTTGATCAACCGTATGTTTTTACATGGCGTAGTAAAATTTTCAAATTATTTCAATTATATTATGATCATTACTTCATGTGTCTCCAAAATTAATAAAAATAATATTCAAGTTGAGTAATAATCCCATCACTCCTCTTCAGCTTCCCATCAATCCTTTTCGTCTCCCATCACTTATTTTCATCTCCCATCATGTCCTATTTCTCCTTTTTGTTTCCTATCATTACTCCCTTTCATCTTCTATTACTTTTCATTACTCCATTGTTATTTCATTTTTTTATTAGCATCTTTCTCCTTGATCATTGTAATTTTACTTATCTTTTTATTTATTGTTATTGTTTCTTTTATGTGATTTTTTTCTTTAAAATCGTAAATGTGTGACTTAAATTTTAATATTTGCAAATAAAATTTCATTAGATAAGATTATTTGAATAAATATGTTTGCAAAAATTTTTTTTTTTAAATATCTTTTGCGATAAAATTTTGTTTAGCTGATCAAAAATTAGCTAAAGTTAAAAAAATCAGCTGAATAAATTTACTCTATATATTGTACATCATGTGACATATTTGAAAAAAAAACCCAGGCGACAATCACCCAGGCGACGTTTAGCAATTCCCTTAATTTACTATTTTACTATTTTAACTTATAATAAACCGAAATCTGCCATTTCTCTATACTTAATTTACTCATATTGATATTAATATTCCTGTGTCAAAATCCAAACAAGTTGACTCAAATAGGATTACATTTTAAAACCATTATTGAAACATTTCATACCAAATTTTCCCATCATGTGATGAAAATACATTATTGTCATATATATAACTGTCATATCATTTGTTCCACTTTTTTGATTTTTGATTAACTCGAACGTGTGTCAAAAGAAAAGAAAATTAAACTTTTTTTTTTATAAAGCGACGATAACTTTTAAATAGTTACTAATTAATAAAATTACAGTTTTTTATGTAGATGACAAAATACCATTTTTAATCGATATAAACTTTTCGCAATTAAAGCTTTTTAGTTAGACGATACAAAATAAGAAATTCCAAACTATATAATTCATTTGTTTAATATACTCTAACTACAAATTTTGATGAGATTAACTTTCATTTGCTACCATGCATGAAAATGAATAAGTAATAAAAAATTAGGTTAAGCCATTAGCCATTATTCAACGATTAAAGTTCATATAAATTAATCCATCTATGATAAATATATTTGTATATTAAATAATTCAGCTATTTATAGTACTGCATAATAAGTAAAAAAATTGGGTTTAAACATTATAATTTAAAGAACATGATTGATATCAAGATCAATCTCTTTGGTGACATATCCTTATATTGAAAACAAAAATTAGATAAAAATTTTATAATGTTGACTTATATTTATAAATGTATATTTGCTTACCTTTATCATGAGGTTGATTAGAGCTCATATTAATATCTAATTCAATTTCTTTTGTTAAGTAATCTGTTAAAATCATAAAAATCAATTAAATTATGAATGCATTTAAAAAATTTACAATAGAAATGAAAATTCAACACCATCACTCAAACGAACAAATAACGCTCACGACAACGCATTTCCTTTTGGACGTGCAACTTATTACAACAAACCACCAGTTAACGACAATATTAATCATCAAAATATTGAAACAAACCCGACAAAAAATAATATGTAATATACAATATAGAACGAATCCTAGATACAAATAAATGAACTATGTTGATTGTTAAAATGTAATTTTATTTACCACTATTTTCAGATTCAAGAAATTTTCTTCTTTTAATATTTTGTTCTAAATAATTACGAATGTGAATTAAATAGTAGAAAGTATAATGAAAAATAATAATTTATTAAATTAATTATCATACCATTATCATTATTGTCTTCAACCAAATTATCTTCAAGTTTTCTTTTATCTTTAAAATAATATTAATTATAAGTAAGAACATAAAAAACCATTAACAGTTAAACAAAAACTGAATAATTACCAGTGTTTTTCTGATAATAATAAAATGGATCTAAAAATAAATAATTGTTAAAATTGTTCTTGCAATAAAAAAGCGTTGTAATTAATAAAATTTGTTACCGATAGATTGACTCCTTGAACTCCTTAAAGACATTGCAGATTTAATCATGCGACTTAATGGTCTACTCTTATAAATGGCACCTGGACTAGTTATTGTTGCAGGTCCAATATCTGATGATTTAATAATTTTAGTTTGATTTATATCACGTTCATTATGAATCATTTTATTAATTTTCAAAGTCACATTTATAGTTGTTGGTCTTTTTGCTGGATCAGAATGCCAGCATTCCTTCATTAATTCAATATATCCTTCAGGTGCATTTGTAACAATTGGTGGTCATAAACCATCACATATTTTGATTATAAGTTCTATATCATGAATTTCATCCCAAAAAGGTCTTCTACCTGTCATAAATTCCCACATAATCATTCCAAAACTATATATATCTGAAGCTTCAGTATATTTTTGTCCTTGAAAAATCTCTGGTGCCATATAAGGAATAATACCATATTTCTCATTATCATTATTTGATTCAGTTGCAGATCTACTTATTCCCAGATCACCTATGTACGCAAAATTTTCATCAAAAAAGATGTAAATCCCTGCGGATAATTTGTGCTCTACGTATTTTTGCAAGTCCATATATTATATAAAATAATTTATTGATTTTTGCTTTCCAGCTGACATTATAAAAGTTATTACTTAAATAATGTATCAAATCACCTGAACTATAATATGGCATGATAATCATCATATCTTTAGTAATAGGATCTTGAGTAATTCCAAAATATTCACTAATGCCATAAGTTGTATAATTACTTAATAAAATCCGATAATATACTTTAAACTATAAAATGAAAAAAATATTAATTTATCGTCATCACGTTGAAAATTAAAAAATTGCATGCGCTGTACCTCGTTCAGTTCCTTGGATGTAATGTTTTTAGAATTATTAAGTTTTTTGAGAACAACTGTATAATTGTTATTACGAACAATTGTATTACTACGACTATCGTAGTACTCATCAATTGGACCATCAACCCAAATAGCTTTATAAATTTTACTAAATCCTCCTTCGGCAATAAATTCTATATTTTTGAATTGATCATAGGGAACAAACTCAAATATCCTACGAATTGAACCTTTAACAAAATTAAATCGTGTATTTCCAGATAATGTCATCAATGACTTCGATTCCACTTAAATTAAATTTGAGTAATTCATAACATAATTGACAAGTTTCATGATTTTCACCTATAATTTTTCTTTTCATACATTTTTTACATTCTATCTCTCCTTTACTAACTATAGTAGTTCGTGCTGGCCGACTTAAGGATATATTGTCTGACATCATAAACAATATTTATATTAATTGTTCTGTTATTTTAAAAAATATATAATTTATTTGCAGCGTCAAGAAAACCTTCTAGTATATATATTAAAGTAAGGAGTTCAAAATCCTAAAGAATTATAGTAAAAAATTAATCTAGAAGTTCATTATGGAAAGATTTTGAATGAACTCTGATTAGAATTCCATGAAAGAATAAAAAGAATTCTATAAATGCAGTGTTTACATTAAAAGCAAGTATTTGCTGTTTGTGTCACAACCACCGTAATAATAATTTTTTTTTGTCCTTAGTCATTAAATTCAAAATATTGGTTGAAAAAATCGTTATTGATTATTTATATATATAAAATTATATTATTTTTTAAAAATTATCATGAGTATATAAAAGCAGAGATGAAACAAGTTGATAAAGGATTTAAATAATTTAAAATTTAATTATATTTTTCACCCTAAGCGTAAGTTCTTACACTTTTTTTAGATCTTGGACGCTATTTAACTAAAATTCAATATAAGATAAATTTCATAAAAAAGACCAGACCACATAATATTAATAAACAAACTTTATAATAATTTATTAAAAATTTTCTTCCTTTACTTGATTTTTTTTTCCCTATTTCTACAGCTACAAATATTAGTAAGTTTAATATAGAGGTTGGAACCAACCAAAAAAACCTTAACCGATTAATAATCGACTAATCAGTTACCATAACCGAATAATAATCGGTTAATTAATCGGTTAATATATAAATTTTGCACCCTATATGGATAATATACATGTATTATTTCAAAAATTTATATCAAATTTTAATGGGAAACGAGAACTGACTTTAATTCAAGGTTTAATTAAATGGGAAATTAACAATATTAATGATAGTGGAATTGAATTGCAAGTTTTTAGGAATGTTGATGTTATTTTTTATTCCGCTGCCCATTTGAATATTTTGCGTAATATATATCACATGACATTTAGCTGCGCCATAAATAACTTAAAATAAAAATCAATACTTATAAAAGCATTTAAATATGTTACAAAATAATATATAATAAATGACCAGATAGAGATTCATTTTCAATAGGTCTATAATCAATATATTCTGAAAAAATGTCATTTGTTTCATTATCACCCATATTGTATAATTTTTTTTATAATAAATTAAAATTTCTCAAGTTTTTATAAAAAGTTTAAATGGGTTTATTTTTTTGACAAGTTTGTCAATACTGTATATTAAAAAAAAAACTTCTTATCGAGATAAAAAATCATTTAATTTGAGAAAATGATCTGCATAGTATTTTAACCGACTAAATTAATCGGTTAATTTAGTCGGTTAATTTAGTCGATTAACCGATTTTTTGATACTTCTAACCGATTAACCGCCTTAACCGATTAATTAATCGATTAACGTTAATCGGTTCCAACCTCTAGTTTAATATATAAAAAAATTATATAGATTTAAAAATATTTTTACATACAGTATATTTGTAATTTATTGACTATCATCCATTTTATTTAAAGTTTTTTGAAAAAACCATTTCATAGATCAAAAATTAAAAATATATTTTTGTTTTAAGTGTTTTAAGTAATATTTCTAAGGTATACTTCAAGGGATAGATTTCAATTTCAAATTTATTAAATAGCCAAAATAGATCTTGGCAACTTGAGTTGACTCAAGACTAGAGTTACACGAGCACAAATCCAAGCCTCTAAGCTAGAATAATCAAATTTTTAACCGGTCGCCTATTCAAAATTATTTTATTAAGTGATTATCAATATTTATTTTTTTTTTTTTTTTAGGAAAAATCTCCATTTATTTATTTTTGTGATTAAAATCTTTTCAAGCGCAGCACTAAACAGAATTCCATCCTCTATTTCATTAACCAGTTACAAGATAAAAAAAGTTTAAAATTTTACCATGATTAAAAATAAAATTTCAATGCAAAGTAGGCAGGGACAGATAGGACTGTCATAGACATACGCTTCAGAAAGTTGGCCGCAAGTAATTTTGTGAAACGTATTTACCATCACGAACTTTTCAGTCATTGCATTAAAAATAAATACTTTAGGAACGGGAACTGTTAGAGCATCCATTAAATTTATCATAAATATTAAATTGTATATTAGAAGTTAATGCCGCGTTGCTGTTGTATTTATTACATACATATTGGCTAATTGGGTGACTGATCAATTAAATAGATCATCATGTGATGCGTACTAAAGTTAAATTACTATTTTGAATCAAGATAATATATCAAATTTCAGATTTAAGTGGGTTAATTTTTATAAGTATTTAATGTTTTTATTTAATAATCTTATTTATTAAAAATAAAGAAATAACAAATTTTTCTATGAAGAAAAAAATATAAATATGTGTACTGTCTCTGGAATTAATGATTAATTAGCAGTGGAAATATAGGAAATATTTTATAAAATGTGAGCAAATACATATCACAATCTTTTTTGAAATAAAATAAATTATATTATGTACTTAGATTATCAACAGATAAATAAATATACTTACATGTCTATTACATCAGAAAAAAATAATAGATTTAATATGTCCAATTACAAACTGATTTATTCATGTAAAAAAAAATACATATCCATACACAGTGTTGGACAAAACTATATATAATTGTAAATTCCTATAAAATAGCAGTTATATATACAGTATACTGTATATTAAATGTCAAACAAAATTTTATTCTCATTGTGTATCATTTGAAACTAATTGGAAGTGCACAATCATCCAAACATTGAGAATTATAACCATCATCATTTTTTGGAAGATCTTTTGTAATAGGATTAAGTAATCGAGATGTATAAATAGCTTGTGGATGGGTAACTATTTGGTAGTTTTCAGTGGATGAAATATTTGCTTTTCTATATTCTTCTGCTTCCTCAAATTGTATTTTAATTTCTCCTAAAATAGCTAAATCCATTGTATATGACACAAGAAATGATGTAATTTCTTTATCTAACCCAAAAACATCTGGTCTATTATTTTTGTCTAAATCCCAACACTTTTTCATTAAATCAATATAACATCTTGGTACTTCTGGCTCACTTATTTCAGGTCCAATTCCTTTGCAAATATCTAATGCCAAATCATAATCATGTGCACGATTGCCAAAAGGTTGTCTTCCAGTTGCTACAAAATACATTACCATACCGAAACTATCTGCTTGAGTATAATGATTTCCTCTTAATACTTCAGGAGCCACATATGGCATAACTCCATAAATTTTAGTTTCGTCTATATTACCAACCTCTCCACACAATCCCATGTCTGAAATTGATACACAATTATTAAAATTATCTATGAAATTTAAAAATAATATATTTCCTGTATGAAAATCACGATGAACTAAATTTTTTTGATGAATTTCTTTAAGGCCATTAATAATATTAAGTAATGCAGATAGTTTATCCTTCCAATTAAAATATTTATAGTTTTTATTCATCCAATGATTAAAATTGCCTTCCTTTGCATATTGGAGAACCATAATATATTCTTTTGTATTTGGATTTTGAGATATACCATATATATTAAGAATATTACTACTTTTATTTATTGAGTATTCTTTAACCTATTAAAATATGTTGATATCAAAAATAATTATTTCATTGTGCTTAAATAAAAGATTATTCTATTATAGTGATTTTTTAAAAAAGTTTCATACCTCATTTAAAAATTTATCAGTAATATTTTGGGAACTATGCAAACATTTCAAAGCAATTACTCCATTTCTATTGTGGACTTTTTTATCCAATGGAGCATCTTTCCATATTGCTGAATATACTGTAGAAAAACCACCTTTACCTATTTCCTTAATATCATTAAACTGACTGTATGATATCCATTTAAATACTACATCATTATTGTCATTTATTTTTAGTTGTCTTTCTTGAATGAAATCATCAATTATTTCATTTCCACTTGACCAGTTAAAAACCAAAATATAATCCTCTGTATCTGGATTTTGGGATATTCCATATAATACTTGAGATTCTCTATATTTTGTTAAATATTTTCCAGCCTAATATAAATATTAGAATATATTAATTAAAAAAAAAAGTATTAAATATTTAAAGAAATTCCATACCTTATTTATTAAAAAATCAATGGATTCTTGTGAATTATGTAAACATTTCAAAGCAACATCTTTATTTGAATCTCTTGTATAATTATTCAAACTATTCTTTTTATATAATGGACCATCCTTCCATGTTGCTGAATGTACTGTTATAAGGCCATTTTTGCCTGTCTCTTTAATTTCATTAAACTGATTGTATGGTATCCATTCAAGCATTATATTGCCTATATCATCATCATCAATTATTTTCAATGGCCTTTCTTGGATGAAATCATCAATTTTTTCATTTCCACTTGTCCAGGTAAGAATAAAAATATAATCCTCTGTATCTGGATTTCGGGATATTCCATATAATACTTGAGATTTTTTATATTTTGTTAGATGTTTTTTAGCCTAATATAAATATAAGAATATATTAATTATAAAAAAAAGTATTTAAATATTTAAAGAAATTTATACCTCATTTATTAATAAATCGATAGATTCTTGTGTATTATGTAAACATTTTAAGGCAACTTTTTTATTTGAATCTCTTGTATAATCTTCAGAACTATAATTTTTGTATAATGGACCATCTTTCCATATTGCTGAATATACTGTTATAAGACCACTTTTTCCTGTCTTTTTAATTTCATAGAACTGATTGTATGGTATCCATTCTAGCACTATATAATTATAGCTTTCTTGAATGAAATAATCAATTTTTTCATTTCCACTAACCCAATTTACTAAGTTTATAAAATTATTTTGAACTAAAATATAATCTCCTGTATCTGGATTTTGTGATATTCCATACAAAAATACTTTATTGTTTGTGTTTATTGAATATTTTTTAGCCTAATAAATAAATAAAAGAAATTGTAAATATATTGATTAAATTTTAAAGAAAGTAGTTAGTTATTTAAAGAAATTTTGTACCTCATTTATTAAAGTATCAATGGATCCTTGAGTATTATGAAAACATTTTAAAGCAATTTTTTTATTTGAATCTCTTGTATAATTGCTCCATCTATTATACTCTTTACATATTGGGCCATCCTTCCATATTGCTGAATATACTGTTATAAGGCCATTTTTGCCTGTCTCTTTAATTTCATTAAACTGATTGTATGGTATATATTCAAGTACTATATTATTATAGTTATCTATTTTTAATTGCCTTTCTTTAATGAAATAATCAATTTTTTCATTTCCACTGATCCAATTTACTAAGCTTATAAAATTATTTTGAACTAAAATATAATCTCCTGTAACTGGATTTTGAGATATTCCATGCAAGACTTGAAATGCTTCATAGTTTGTTGGATATTGTTCAGTCTAATATAAATTTAAAAATATATTAATTAAAAAAATGTATTTAAATATTTAAAGAAATTTCATACCTCAATTTTTAAAGAATCAATGAATTCTTGTGAATTGTGAAAACATTTTAAGGCAACTTTATTATTTGAATCTCTTGTATAATCTTCAAAACCAAAATTTTTGTATAATGGACCATCCTTCCATATTGCTGAATATACTGTTATAAGACCATTATTGCTTGTTTCTTTAATTTCATTAAACTGATTGTATGGTATATATTCAAGTACTATATCATTATAGTGCTTAATTTTTAATTGCCTTTCTTGAATGAAGTCATCAATTTTTTCATTTCCACTAATCCAATTTGCAGCATAATTTTGAACAAGAATATAATCTCCTGTATCTGGATTTTGAGATATTCCATACAAGAGTTGAAATGCTTTATATTCCGTTAGATACTTTTTAGCCTAAACATAAATAAAAGAAATTATAAATACAGTATATTAATTGGGAAAAGTATTAAATATTTGAAGAAATTTCATACCTCATTTATTAAAGAATCAATGGATTCTTGTGAATTATATAAACATTTTAAAGCAACTTTTTTATTTGAATCTCTTATATAATCACTATGACTATACTTCTTGTATAATGGACCATCATTCCATATTGCTGAATATACTGTTATAAGACCATTATTGCTTGTTTCTTTAATTTCATTAAACTGATTGTATGGTATATATTCAAGCACTATATCCTGTCTCTTATACACATCTAGATGTGTATAAGAGACAGCTTTATTTGAATCTCTTGTATAATTATTCAAACTATTCTTTTTATATAATGGACCATCCTTCCATGTTGCTGAATGTACTGTTATAAGGCCATTTTTGCCTGTCTCTTTAATTTCATTAAACTGATTGTATGGTATCCATTCAAGCACCATATCATTATCGTCATAGTGACTTATTTTTAATTGCATTTCTTGAATGAAACTATTGATTTTTTCATTTCCGCTGGTCCAATTTGTAAAATTGGTTTCTAAATATTCCAGAATATTATCTTTTGATAAAGGTATATTTTGAGAAAACATTGTTTTCAAAAGCTTAAAATTTTTTTCAAAAAAATGTCTTTATTTATAATAAATTATGTAATGTTCAAATAACAGGTAACACAACAATTTGACACAAATAACTTATGTAAGTATTACATAATGAAGAATCTTTGTAATATTCGATGTCGATCATGGTCACAATTATTTGAAAAGAATTTTTCCTTGTTAAATTTTTTTATAACTTTATACAAATTTCTTTTAATATTAATAACAAAAGCACGTTTTGCATCATGAATTGTTTGTGAATTAAAAAAAACCTCTTTAACTTTGAATCATATTTGAAATATAAAATAGCAAAGCCACTAAATTAAAAACCACAGTGTTCTCCGACTTCTTTTACTTCAATTGAGTTAATACATTATATCTATATGAGAATATTCAATTTACATTGATTTTTTTTTATCAATAATTAATTTTAACTATAGAAAATTAAATAAAGTGGAAATTATTTTCATAGTTATTATGTTAATATACAGTTAATATATATAAAATTTGCTTATTTTATTATTTTATAATATTACGTGGTGGATTTTATGAAATTTATCTAACTTACATTTTTTAGATATTAAAAATTTTATAATAACAAGTGAACGGTTCCAGTTGAGTCTGGAGCAGCAAATCTATAACTCAACAAACTAGCCTAAAAATAAAAAGAATTAAGACGTGATTCGCCAGAGATCGGCACTAAATCACTATATAATTTTGGGGTAAATTTATGTCGATCAATTATAAATGCGCCACCGGTCACAAAATTTAAATAAGGTTAAACCAATAATTAATGTTGCACACAAATGCTCAAACCATGTGAATAACTAAAACAAATATCAAAAAAAACGTTTTTTCAAAAAAAAGTGTATGTTGAAATAGTCAAAATTTTTTTTACTTTGAGGCAACAACAGATTCACAAGAAACATAATACTGGTTTATTGATTTTTTTATTACGAGCTTTCATGATTTTAATTATTTGATTATTACAAACTTTTATAAACTTCTATTTTCGTCCATAGAACGAAGTGCCATTGCCTCTTTCCACCTTCGTGAAAAGCCTGAAATCCAATTTTGGATTGTTGAGACTTCAGGCACGTCTTCTTCACATAATTCACCTTGATGTACTCGCTGCAATAATTCCTCATGCATTTGTTGTGCATTCATTTTTTGGCGCGGATTTGCCGTTCCTGTATGAAACATTATTTCTAATAATCGTTTGACTTCTGCGGTCATTCTTTTTGCTGGCTCACGCGACTTAGTTTTCTCATTTTCTTTTAAAGCCCAACCCGAGAAAAAAAACCTATGACTATAAAATCAAATTTCAATAAAAATTTCCATAATTATCAATACACAACAACATGATAATACCTTTGTGAGCTATATTGAACAGGTTCATGATTAACGCCTCCTTGGTTATTCATATCAACTATCGTTGTATCCTGACAATATTATTGATATTAGGACAGAATAGGCAATTATATCACTATTATATGGGATATTTATACATACTAAAGAATGGTGCAAATTAGTAGATAAGGTTAGTATTTTACAACCAAAAATAATATCATTTTACCGGGTTTATCTACAATTGGCATAGTCCATAGTTTACTTGGTTCTGTATGTTGAGTATAACTTGGATCTGGCCTTTGAAATTTTCGTTTTTTCATAACTTTCTCTATTTTATCAGGTGAATATTCCTTCCAGTTACCAATCCCTGCTAGAGCACGAGCATAAATATATCCATTTTTTTCGTCCTCTTGGGGCCAAGTCCACTCTTGAAAATTTGAAATTCCTGTTATGGTGCCTAATTTTTCTTTATCTGATTTTAAAATTGTATATTATAAACACTATTTACTAAACAATAAATGTATCAAATATAGGTAATAAACCCCATACCTGTATTTCGATCTGGATTCAAATTTGCCACATGTGTACCTGCAATATCCCGAATGGCATTCTCAATATCTTCTCCATTCTCCACCTCAAATCCCAGTTTAATATACCGTTTTATTGCTTGTACAATCTGTACGTTTATTTATTTAGTAACAAATTTTATTTGTAAAAACTAATAATGCATGTATTAATTACTCACTTGGGCGTGATGGGAATCAATTGCCGTTTTGGCCTCCCCTGCCTCCAAAAAGAGCCATTGTCGTGGAATAACATCATACCATTCTTTCAAGTGACCTATAATAAGCATCAATTCTGTACAATGATAATGCATTCCATTATCAGACAAAATTGATATCCATTTAGGTTTTGGTTCAAGATTTTCAAGAACGGTATGTATAGAGGAGGCAGTGAACCACGCATCCTGACGCGTATCATCTGACCAATGATCAAACACCCGGATATTTAGACAATTCTTTTCTATATCCTTCGTGTATACTAGAACAGAATGTAGGCTCCAACCCCGTTTACCGAAAAAATCCTTTTTTGTTTCTCTTGAACTTGTAGGTAAAATTTTCATTTTATAATCTACTATTAATACTGCACCATCAGCATCAAGTTCTTCGAGATTGGTTCTTACATAAATATTAAGGTAAGTTTTACGCGCATGATGACCCATCCATGAAATAAGTTTTTCTTGATAATTAACAAGTGTATCATTAAATTCAGGACCTAATTGTTCTTTTAATTGTTCAAAAAAACTAAACAAATTTTCGCAATTACTACAAGTATTGGGATGATCAATATTACAGTCTTCAAATGCATGTCGAATACAATGACTGATGCATGTATCATGTAGAGCCATGCCATCTGTTGTAATAGTAAGTGATTTGCGATATTGATGACGGATGTAACGCCGTAAATTTTGTGATTTTTCCAGTAAATGCTTCTGTAATAAAGATTAATTATTAGGATTTTTTTGAAAATCAATTTTTATTATTTATTTTACATTAATTTTACTTACTCGCGTTGATTCATCAGTTATGTGTGCTGCAATTAGTGTATTAATGTCACCAAACACTAGGTATCCATTTTCATTACATGTTGAACATAATCCACCAAGATTTTCTTGATATACAAAACGACCACCTTTTAGTTTTGTCATGAAAGAAGTTCTTCGCATGCCATTAGGATATTGTTCTGAAAATCGTTCCCATAGAGCCTTTTTGTGATCTTGCAAATATAAAACTGGTTGCCCAGTAGAGGTATCTGTCTTATATGAACTCATATTTACAATTACTTTATTCGTAAAAAATTGTTCAAACTGATCTAACATTTCTGATGTAAATCTTTTTTGGTGAATAATAGGCTTTATTAATACCGGAGCTCCATATCCATTAATACGTCCATGTTTGCGTGCCTTTGAAATTGTATGTCTTCCAACCTACATTGTGAAAATGAATTAGGTTTGAAATTTTTTTACATCATTTATAATAGTTAAAATTAGTACTTACGCCTAAATTGTTTTGTAATTCATCATAAGTGAAATCTTCTGCAATTATAGACAATATTTGACATTTTCCATCATATGTTCTCTTATTATTTGATAGAGCTTGCTCAAAACAAGTCCAAAAAGTACGAGTTGCATTAGGCATATGAATTGGAATGGAGGTAAGTAATCCTATTTTGAATAAATCTGCTAAGGTTTCTCGTTCGGTAGTTGGGTCAGGTGATTTAGTCCACATTTCAATCTGATATATTTATATTGAATTAGTTATTTATATAGAAATACGAAAAACACGACACAAGTTCACCTCCGATTCGTCATGTGTCCACGGAGTTATATTAGTACATCCAGATGCATGCAGCATTGCTTTCCATACTCTGAATTCACGCTCATCAAACTTGTAATTGTGTGGGTATAGTGGCTTTAAATTAGATTTCAAATCAATTATTGTAACATTAGATTCCGCCCAACTAATAAAAAATTGGTGCCAGTTGATATTCGCCAATGTTCTTCTTTTCAAGTGATAATCAAAAAGGATTTGCATAATAGATTGATCTTGCCAATCTTGAAGCTTGCAAGTAGGAACTCGGTGCTTTTTTATGAGTTGTTGAATTATTGAATTATCTAACCCAAAAAGTTGAGTTCCATTGTAATTTTGAATTAGCCCAGTTTTTCGCCAAACATCATCTGGACTGGCGCCTATAACCCTTTTTTTTAATTGAGAATCCTGGTAAATTTCCACAATACAGTCTTTATTTTCAATTTTGGATACCAAAATTCCTTGTTTCTTATCAAATACGTGAATAATAGAAGCTTCGTAACCTGATCCTGCATACATCCAACCCTTATTTAAAGAATAACCAATAGTATATAAAAAAATTTTATATTTTCCAACCGTACATATTACAGGAAAAAATTCAATATCATTTTTGAGTATTTCTAAAATATTTTCGTTATTCCAGCCCATAATTGCATGACCTGAATATTGCGTAAAACTTTTGAATATATCCTTATATACTATTTCTACTGCTTTTGTTGGACTAGTTTCAAACACTTCTATCTCACCACTTTTGCAATGATATTCTGGAAGATTTCCTGCCCCTTTTTTAACTGTTAAAAAGAAGTCATTTCCATTTAAAACACTTTAACTTGCTGATTTAAACGAATTGGAAAGTTTGCGACATTGTTTTCAGTTGAAAAGTCCCACCAAAATCGAGAATATGGCCCATAATGAAGTTCATTTACAAGTAAACCACTATTTTCAAGAAATACAGGCAATAAACGAGGTTTTTTAATCATATTATAAATGGTTAGGAAATAAATAGTTTGAGATGTAAAAATGGACTTTATTTTATTATAATTCTTATCCCCGAATTTATTATTTATTTTCACGTGTTTAGTGCCGATCTCTGGCGGATCACGTCTTAAATAAATAACTTGTAACTTACAATCTATTAAATAAAGAAATTAGTTATTAGTTTAAATTATATGTAAATATCATAACAATAAGTAATAATAGAATTAAATAAATAACTTACTCTCTATATTATTTAATAATTTTTTAAATAAAGAAATTAGCTAGTTTAAGTTATATGTAAATATTATATAAATAAGTAACAATAGGATTAAATAAATAACTTATGACTTACAATCTATTAATAAAGAAATTAGTTAATTTAAATTATATGTAAATATTATATAAATAAGTAACAATAGAACTTATGACTTACCAACTGAAATAAATTACAAAATAATTTTTTAAATAAAGAAATTAATTAGTTTAAATTATATGTAAATATTATATAAATAAGTAATAATAGAATTAAATAAATAACTTACTCTCTATATTATTTAATAATTTTTTAAATAATTTTTTTCATTTTTTGGTTACATTTTCCATTATCAACATCAACGCCGCCGACTTTACTGTTTAAGAAATAATAACCGCAGAAAAAACCATACTTGGAAATGGAAATCCATAATTCTCAGACTTTTTTACTTAATCATATAAAGCGGGCGTGGCGTGATTGGCCAGTTGAACTGATTGTTTCGCGTGTAACATTTATCTTTGGAAAAAAAAAGAAAAAAGAAAAATAAGATTAATTTTATTACTTTTATAATAAGTAGTACATTTAAAAGTTACCTCGTTCATACTTTATTAAATTAAATGAACAAATAAACAGACATTATTTTTATTTAACAAAAGTGTTAAAATTACGCTATAAAGTAAACCAACAGTGTACAGCACAGTAATTCTATAACAGTTAAATTGTTCAATGTTTTCAAATTTGAAGTATAGTTTAGTAATTATTTTTAGAAAATGAAGTTACTTAGTCTTAGCTTACTTAACCTTTAAAGAAACTTTATTAAATAATAATTTATAATATATGAATTACTCTTTTGAAAAAGAAATTAAAGATTCTTAGTATATCTTTTAGCTCAAATGAATCATATTAGACTATATCTTAGTACTTGTAAAAAATTATTGTTGATTTGAGTTACTTTGAACAAACTCTATTAAAAAAAAAAAAAAGATTCGTAAATGCATATTATAAACATAATATAGTCCTTTGCTTGATGATGTATCAATAGTTCCTAATTATGTCCCTATATAATTAATAAGTTTTTATATAAAATATGAAACTAACGGATTTATGAAATTTGGCAAAAAACCCTGCTGCGCCTTCAGGAATTAAAATTGACTTACAGTAACATATAATATCGATTAAGCTTTTTCCATAAAAAATGTCAAAGAATGACGCGCCTTTAACACTGGGATAACATAATACGCTCATAATTATATTTGTTGTTATTTTAGTTCTTTCGTCAGAATTACTTATTTCTTTTGAAATATTTGATTTTTCCTTTTTCTTTCTTGATGTTAGTATCGGTAGGTATTAGTATATCGCCCATTTTCCTGAAATAAGTAATTAAGCATAAGTTATTATTACGTATTTGATTTACTACAAGTTTAAAAGAAATGTCTGATAATATATCATCCTCATAATTTTCAGATTTTCATCAGTAAATTCTCTTTCGCTATGTTCCTCATTTTCACTAAACCTCCCTTCAAAATCAACGCGCGTTGCTGTTTCTTCTTTATCTACAGTTATATTCTCTATTTTTAATTTGATATCTTTTCCTTTCATCAGGTGCAGCTGATTTTTTATAAAATCTTGCCATGAAGATATGATACATAGCGCACAAAGAATAAATTAAATTTTGACAAAAAGCCCAAGCCATATATAAAGTCATTATTTGCATTATTTATTTCATTAATTTGTGAAGAGTTATAAATTTTTTCTTTCTAAAAGGTGGTTTTTTTTATTAATTCACAATTACCTAAATAGTTACTATTATAAACCATTAAAAACGAGTATTGGTACGAAAAAAAAAAAAATTATTTTTCGCTTTTTTTAAACGAAGCTACCGAAGTTTATCTGTTATATTTACAGTATATTTTTCGGTTTTTTGAACCGAAATTTTTCTTTTAATTCTTTATTTTTGTTTTTAGATCTTTTCGTTTTACTCTATTTTACTCTAGGTTCGACTTTGATACATCGGCTGCGGACAATCGGTAAGTCGTTCTATTTTTAAAGAATAAAAAGAATTTATTATTATATTTATTATTATTTAAAAATAATTATTAATAGTTTTATATCTTAGATTCAGATTTGGAACGGGCAAGAGAGGATACGCTGGCTGAGGTAAATTCGGTTAAGTCCTGAATAAGAAAAAAAAATTTAATATTGTTATATTATTAATTAATAACTTACCTTAGCGTTAGCTGCAAAACAGGAGATAAATAATTGGGACAGATCAAAGTGTCACACTATGGCAATTCGGTAAGTGGCGGATTCTTTTCCTATTATTCATTTAAATAATTACTAATTAGTAATAAAATATTTATTACTAGCTAAATAGGAATTTAGAGTAAGTGATAAAAACATTTGTAAAAAACAAATGACCGTATAAAAGTTTGTCTTAGATATTTGTGAAATATTATAAATATTAATTTAATATGATCCTTTATTACCTTTAATAAAATATTTACAAATTTAATGTCCCAGAGGTCAATCTTTTTCTTTGCAAGTAAAGAAAGTAAAGAGAACTATAATATAAAATAATTATATGAGCACAAATTAATTTGAATAAGTATAAAACTATAATATTAATGATATACGCACGGAATATAAAATCATTATTTATATCGTTATATTTAAGAAAATCGTCACTTTCTAATTCTAATAAATTAAGAAGACAAAAAATTATAAAATTAGTTTCTTCTATTATTATAATCATGATTTCACGAATCACGATTTCATTAACAAATTACAATAAATAGCCAACAAATTTCATTGGTACGACAATAAAAGCTAGCCAAAATATTCGAAACAAAAAAAAAAATAAAATCATAATAGTTTAGTAAAATCAATTATTTTAAGAATCATTATATTTGCGTTGTTTAATATTAAAAAATTCGCTTTTATTTGTAATAGTAATAACATGTCATACTGCATGAAGAGATAAATAGTATTAATAATTTTTTTTTCGCATTATTTGAATATTGATTCATAAAGCCACTTTACGACTTTACGTCATATTTTTGGTGTGGTTATGTGGTAATAGTCTACTTCGATTGCAAATTTGCAATTTTAAAATCTACGATTAAAGTTCAATTTTGAGCAGATGATTGATTGATCATGATAAACTATTAACAGACTAATCAGTTGGTGTTTTCGTTGTGTGTTTTATCGCCTCGATCAAAACGATCTACTTTCACGTTATTCGGTTGGTTGATCATTCCACAGTTAAATATTGGTGTAACCGATCAAAAATCACGGATCCGATTTCCCCAATACTCATTTTCCCGACGTACCCCGATACGATGTTACTATGAATACAGGTGAAGTACATATTGTTTGATATTAAACACCATATCGTTTGAATTTGAAGTACAAAGCATTTGGCGTTAAATATAAACTATTTTGCATTAATTGCAAAGCATTTGGCAAAGTGATTATCATTAAATGCAAATCTTTTGAATTTTAAAAATAACTTTCCTAAAAAGGAAATATACATCCTTTTGAGACCCAAAAAAAGAGAACAAAAAAAAAAAAAAAAAATGA